CAATGGTACTTGACATGCAAGCAAGGTTGTTGCTAGATATGCTTGGCAAAGGTATTGAATCGGCTTTAGTAAATCCTTCAGCTTGCTATCTGAACCGTGGCATGCATCTGGTGAGGCATTATCTGTTTTAGATCCTGAGGCAATGGCTGTTGAACCAGCACTCGTCCCAATCATCCAGGTTTGCATGACACATTTTGCAGTTCAATGACAGTATGGTTATCCCGAAGCTTTTCCCTAATCACTGAATGATATCCATGTAGGCTTATGTGGATGCAGTACTTGATCTTGCATCCACTTCATCACGCGGTTGCGGCGTTATGCTAGTTTCTGCCGTACATTGGCAAGTCATGCTGTTACTGCTGGCACTGGAGGGAGCCGGAATATTGGTAACTAGTCCCACCAAAGTTCTGCTTCTCCTACTGCGACTCAGGGTGAGAGAATTTTTCTTCTTCGGTTCCAAAAAATTTTCCCTCTTGTTTCTCCTATTATATTTCCTTATGTGATACCTGTTGGATGAGTATCTTAGGCATCCCATCTGCATATGTTGAATTTCCTTGTCCAGGAGCTCAGGGTGGCACTGCTAGTTCCACTGGAGTACCCAGATGCAAGCTTGGGTTCAAGGAGCCATTGCAAAGATTAGTAGTACTGCTGATACAGTACCAAATTCAGCCCCAAATCCCATAAGTGGCCCTTCAAGTTTTATGCCTATAAGTATAAAGGCACTTTCCCAGGAACAGCTGTTAGGCTTATTGGAGACTGCCATTTCCTTCACCGATTGTGTCAACTTTTGCTTTTCTGCTTTTTGTTTTGGCGAACACAAGTACCACGTTTGTATGGCAGTTCTCAAAGAAATGCTGATTCAGCTGCACAAAAACCTCAGCCTAATAATTCAGGCAGAGTAGAAGAATAACTCTGTCCCTGCGAAACCAGGGTCAGCGATGATTAGAGGAGAAGAAGCACAGGGTCCACGAGCTGGCCAGTTGGCTGCAGCAGCAAAAGGACCGGAAGAAGTTCCATCCAGCCGGTCAAGGCTGGGTTCTGGCAATGCGGGTCAAGGATATACATTTGAGGAGGTAAAGACATTCAATTTTTTACTGAAACAAATGAAGACCTATAATTGGCCTTGCCATTTATTGCCTAATTTTGTTTCTGTTATGATTAAGAAATAGAGGAGTCTTAGTTGAGTGGTATGCTTCAGACCTGCTTTTGTCTTAAAGTTGATACACACCATCTCCTCACATCTTTTGTAGAACTATTAATTTGAACCTTGGAGAAGTTAAATTAAGAATTTGTTTGTAATGAATACAGGCAAGTTGGGGAATTAAGTTGTTACTTGGATGGCGTCTCTTGGAGTTTGCTTGATTTAGTCCTAAGATCATTTTTTGACTTCAGCCTCATAATTTTCTAACCATATACACCTCTTTTGCTCATTCAGAATGTGGGATAAGATTCTAAAGTGGTTTTCATGTATCTTCTGGAGTATGTTATGTACTGTTGGGCTTTATGGAAGTAATGTGAGATGCAAAAGATAACTTGGGGTTAAGAATGTCTAAAGCTGTAATCTTGGAGGGCCTATTTTCTCTGTGAAGAAATGCAAAGATTTGTTACTTTCCCTGTGTGGACTGATTTTGATGCCTCTTGCAGGTGAGGGTACTTTTTCGCATACTGATGGATCTCTGCAGGCGAACAGCAGGTCTAGCACATCCATTACCTGTTTCTCAGGTTGGGAGTAGCAACATTCAGGTTCGGCTTCATTACATTGATGGGAACTACACTGTTCTGCCAGAGGTCGTGGAGGCATCTCTTGGTCCACATATGCAGGTATTTCTTAGCAGTTTTTGAAAATGATGAAAGCTGTTATATTCTGCTTTCATTCTTCTTGCTGACTGTTCCATTCATAAAATAAATGCCTTGTCGCATTACTGCAGATGGAAAATTTTTTCATCTCTCTCTCTCTCTCTCTTTTTTTTTTTTTTTAAAAGAAACTTTGGCAGTTCCTTATGGCCAATATCTAATGTGGTTGCGAACATCCAAGAAAATTGCCTCATTTGATAATTATCTTAAATACAAGAAACTTCTAAAAACCTTAGTTATTTAAGCTCATGTCATGTAACATTGATGTAACTATTTCCGGAATAAAAACATCTAAAGTACTCTCACATATTGTTTTTGTCGGCTGTTTGCAGTTTATGCCACGTCCCAGAGGTGCTGATGCTGCAGGTTTGCTACTGCGTGAGTTGGAACTTCATCCTCCTGCTGAAGAATGGCACCGGAAGAACATGTTTGGTGGCCCATGGTCTGATCCTGAGGATATTGGTCCTGTCAATGATAGTGTAAGGCTAAGCCCTTCAGCAGATTTACATGATGGGACCTCATCAGAAAACTGTGATGTCTATTATGGAGCCCATGGCTTGTGGCCAAGGAAGCGCAGGATGTCTGAAAGGGATGCTGCTTTTGGGTTAAACACTTCAGTGGGTCTTGGAGCGTATCTTGGTATAATGGGATCTCGTAGGGATGTTGTAACGGCTGTTTGGAAAACTGGACTTGAAGGAGTTTGGTACAAGGTTTGTCTTACATTTAGTAGGACTTTTTCTTTGTCATCTATGTCTTTCATTCCTAAAGTTATACGTCACTTCATCCTTTTTTGGGATTTCCTTGCAACCTCAGATCAATATTTTACTGTTAAGTCTGTAGTCTTAGATGTTTCCAGAGAGTCCAAACATAATGACTAAAACAAAGTTTTACACCTCTGATCAAGAGTTCAACTGTTAAACTGATGAAACATTTGATGTAGTGTCTAATTTGCTCAGTCCAGTGGTTTAATTTTGTGATAGTTACAAATTCAGTTACGAGCTTTCTTTGTGATGCAATGCTTGACAGTCATCATCTCAGACAGTTGACTCTCAATCTTTGTTATCATTGACTTTATTAATTTCCCCTAATTTATGTGTTCGAGTTGTTTGGGGTGGAAAGCTTGCTATATTGTGTTATTTTAGCTTTAAAATCCATTCCACCCAGGCCTCGCTACCCAATATACGGGAAACAAATGAGAGCAAACCATCAATTCAAAACTGTATTCAGACTGGGTCTAAATTTCAATGTTATTATTATATTTTCTTTTATTCTGAAGTGACTATTGTTATCATGCAGTGTATAAGATGCTTGCGGCAGACATCAGCTTTTGATCTACCACGTGCTACCTCCACTGGTAATCAGAATGAGAGGGCAGTTTGGTGGATCAGCCGATGGGCACATGGCTGCAATGTGTGGTGGAACATGGGTCCGAGTTGTATAGCTCTTTCAAGCAACCTGCTCGTAGTTATGTACAGATTTGATGAGTTGTTGTGACGCTTGGCCATCTGCATCCTGTATTGCTTTATCATGGGCTCAGCTGACGGATTGTGGTTTTAAGTGGCATTAATTTGGTTGTAGGATTCTCAGCATAATACAACTGCTGCTTAAAAGTGGAATTTTTCTTGTTGGGGAACAGTTCCAAGTTTATCACGTCCTGCGGGAAAGGAAATGAATTTGGAGGGGAATACTCATTGGTCAAATCAGATGGGAAGTAAGTTCACTCTTTCCCAATATACCATGGAGTATTCTAGAAACGAAAGACTTGCATAGATTCCAAGTAGGATGAATTTCAGAACTGTGGAGCCCTAGTCGTTTGTGAGTTCGCCTTATGACTAATTCTAAGAGCTGCTCGCTGATGATATCGAAGACAATTTTTCTTGAGTTTCTGAAATCCTTTCGGATGTCCGGGGGTGATAAGATGACACTATTTACTTGTACAGAATGTTACAAAGGGCTAGGATTTCTTGGTTTGTGGTGGCAGTAACTACCCTGAGAAGCCTGTCAAAGATCTGTGGTGCTAAGTTATGGCAGGGTCTGGAGCTTGTGATGTTCTGCGGCTTCGGCCTTCGCATCTATTTTTCGCTTATGCAGCTGTCTATTCGCATCTATTCTTTGGAAGGTGCCTTGTGAAGAGTTCATAGTTTTTTTCTGGTATTTCTGCCATTTTATCATTTACTTGAGGGGCATTTCCAGCGGTGACCTTATTATGTATAGTATCTGAAATGCTATTTGAAATGTACCATTGTACATCGTTATACTTCTTTAATGCCTTCTTTCTTAAATTTTAAGTCGGTAAAGTTGCAGTAAATGTATCTTCTCTAGACCTATTTAATTTCTATGTCTATACTATTATTCTTCGAAAACAGATAATGATTAGTACTTAATTTTCTTGATTCATCATATACTGCTGTCGTTTAGTTTTCTAAGATCAAAAGTGCACTTAGTATTATTATTATTAGGATTATTATGATGTTGAATTAGAACTTATGAGTATTTTAGTTTTCTAACTTTTATTTCAAAAATTTTTGCTCGTATATTCTTGCAGAAAAGGTAAAGGATATGCAAATAAGTTTTCTTGTGTGTGTGTGTGTGTGATAATTAAAAGATGCATCTCCATAAAATCACCTGATCATGTAAGATGAGGAATATTTAAATTCTCGTATTTTAGGCCATTCTTGTAAAGTTCAATATGTGTATTTACTAAATTGTACAGCTCAAGGTGTTTAAGGTCAATTTCTTCCATCCCATATGGGTCTTACATTTTCACCAAATTCTCCATCCCCTTTCTCCCACGTCGATTTAGCAGAGAGTCGAGTCACGTGTTTAAGGTCCATTGAGGTTCCTTTCAATCAGCAATTGCTTGGACGTGAGACGTCGGTTTAGCAGAGAGTCGAGTCACGTGTTTAAGGTCCATTGAGGTTCCTTTCAATCAGCAATTGCTTGGACGTTGGAGTCACGTGTGAGTGTTTTTATTAAATAACTTCTCAACTCTTTGTTGAGAAAAAAAATTGCACAGCTTGTTTTTTATATCAATTAAATTATATTTCTAACGTTTTTGTAAAAAAAAAAAAAATAATAATAATAAAAATAATCTCCCGATCGTTATTAGACGGCTGCCTCGAGCAAGTCATTTACTATTTCGGTGGTTCAGGACTGCAGCGCTGCAGTCGTAAATAGTATGTGAAATAAAACATCAAAATCGAACATTAAGAAGTGAAGCAACCGCATGTAAGTGGTGGCGCAGCTGAGTAGTGATGCGCTGCTCGCTCTTGTTGTGGAGTGTGGTGGTGTAATCAATCCGCGCGTTCTTGCAGTGGCTGACAACAAGGAGAAATGAGCAGTTCACAAGCTTCTCATTCCCTGGCATTTAGGGTGATGAGACTATGCAGGCCGTCTCTCCACGTCGAAACCCCTCTCAAATTCGACCCCTGCGATCTCCTCTTCGGCGAAGACCTCTTCGACCACCCTCCTGCCGCCGCTCACCTCCCTCGTCTCCTCTCCGACTTCGCCGACTCTTCTTCTTCCGATCTCACTTATCGCTCCCGATTCCTTCTCTCCCACCCTTCCGACTCCCTCGGCCTCTCTGCTCTCCTCGTCCTCCCCCAGTCCTTTGGGTAAACCCCTTGACTTCCTTTGCCTTATCTTCCCCTTTTTCTGGTACAGATTTTGTATTTTATTTGTTCTCTTTATGGTTTATTCTGTAGGGCAATATATTTGGGAGAGACATTTTGCAGTTATATTAGTATAAATAACAGCTCGAATTTTGAAGTCAGGGATGTTATCATCAAGGTTAGATTTGTTTATTAGTTAATCTTCTTCTTTCTTTCTTTCTTTCTTTTGGTTCTATTAATTTGTTCAGTTGATGTCATTTGCAACTTTTACTTTATTTTAATGATCTTTTTGCACCCACAAAAAAATTAGTAGAAAGCAAAAAGGAGTGTGATGGGCTTGTAACATTTTACTATGGCTCTAATATGGAGTAAAATTACTCCACATATGACTTTAATATGTTATAGATAACATTAAATGTATGCAGCAAAATGGCCAGCCTAAAGGAAAGAAATACAAGTGTAATGGACAAAATTTCATGAGAATTAGTGGACTGTTTACTATACTAAAAAGGACATCTGAGGCAAGTTTTTCAGAACTCCTCTTAGGGAGCTATGAACATAGAGAAAATTGGGGAGAGAGTGCTAAGTCAAAGAGTTGAGGTTGTAAGCTCATGCTAAGGCTATCTTAGGAAGATCTGATGGCAATTTCTCTAGAGTTTGATTGAATCAGATATTACTAAAGAGTATGAGAATTTGACCACCCCCAAAAAAAAAACATGTGCTTGGATAGACGATTATTCAGAGAAGTTTTTGGAGTAATTACTGTATCACTTTTTAAAATGTAATTTATGTGAGAAAAGTGGATAGTTGGAAGATAAAATGGTGATCAGAAATTGTGTTTGTGATGAAAGCAAATAATGGCCAATCCAAACAAATAATGCTATTTGCTTTGTTTATTTGGTCCTCATGATTTGGAAGTGATACATGGATCTTCACAGGCAGAAGTCCAGACAGAGAGACAGAGGATACTGCTCTTAGATACATCAAAATCACCTGTAGAATCCATACGTGCTGGAGGGCGTTATGATTTCATTGTGGAACATGACGTAAAAGAACTTGGTGCACATACGTGAGTTCCATGTTTCCATCATCAACTTAAATTTAATATACACAGTTTGCCTCGAGTAGTATCCTAATTTGGCTTTGTCTGTGCGGTGCAATATTGACAGGTTGGTTTGTACAGCTCTTTACAGTGATGGTGATGGGGAGCGTAAATATCTTCCTCAGTTTTTCAAATTCATTGTTGCAAATCCACTTTCAGTCAGAACAAAGGTACCAATGCTCCCAAGTCCTCGTTGTTCACAATTTAAACAATTTTAGGTGACTGGAATGTAGCTTACATATCTACGAAACATTTCACAGCTAAAATTTTTCAGTTACAATGATTGCTGTGTTTTGGCTGCTTTAAAATTTTTTACCTGCAGGTTATCATTACTCTCTCTTGCTTGTTCTAGCCAAACATTTTGCTCATTTCTATCCTTCTTTTGCTTTTGTGCAGGTTCGGGTTGTCAAGGTACATTGAAGTTTTGTTTATGTTCATGATCCTTCATACGTATTTACATAATAAGTTGCATTTAACCTCTTTGAATTGTTAACTAAGTATATTCTCAGCTTTCTTTCAGTGGCATGAATCAGTGAAGGGTCAAAATTGTAATGCTAACTTTATTACAATGCTTTCAAATGCCTTTTGTATCAGGAAACTACTTTTTTGGAGGCTTGTATAGAAAATCATACCAAATCAAATCTCTTTATGGACCAAGTAGAGTTTGAGCCAGCTCAATACTGGAGTGCTACATTACTTCAGGCTGATGATAATTGTTCAGAAAATGATTCGTTAACTAGGTAAGTAGATTGTGCATGCTATATGCTGTAGTTGCTGAAGCTAGAGATGTGTCAAATGTTGTTTAATTTTGCCCTTTCTATTAGTGTATTTGAACATCAAGTTCTAATTTCTTCTGATAGGGAATTATTTAAGCCACCTACACTTATCAGATCTGGAGGAGGAATTCACAACTATCTGTATCAATTGAAATCATCCATACAGGGACAGCCACAAATGAAAGTTGAGGGAAGTAATGTCCTTGGCAAATTTCAGATAACATGGCGAACAAATCTGGGTGAGCCTGGTCGCCTGCAGACGCAACAGATTCTTGGTAGCGTAAGTGATTTCCACTCATATCAGTTAAAATTTAGGTTAACACATGCCTAGATTTTGCAAGCAAAGGGGGGTTACTGATCACTGTTTAGATGTAACTTATCCGAGAGATGATGGTGTCACAAATGAATTTTACGCTCTGCAGCTTGCCAATATCTACTTATCACATCTTACTGGGTATCTTGTGGTGAATAAAAGGAGAGATCTGCTGCAAGAATAGAAATAGGAAAACTTCCAAAGCTTGTATTTATTTTTTACTTGTTAAAAAGAGATTCTTGGCATCTTTGAGTCTTAGAGTTACGTCTGACTTAGACCTGTAGGTACATATTTTACCTATTGATATAAAGTTTATCTTCTTAGGTCTCTGATATTTTATCTGCTTTCAGCCTGTAGTACACAAAGATATTGAGTTGCAGGCTGTGGAGGTACCATCTCTTGTCATCTTCGAGAAGCCCTTCTTGGTAACTTTCATTTATTTAAGCAAATAGGACTAGGGGGGTCAAATTATAACTTGCTGTATTCATTATTCTTCTCTTTGTCCTCCTATGATCCTTTTTTTTTTCTCTTACAGTTGCGCTTAAATCTCACAAATCAGACAGATAGGATACTAGGCCCCTTTCAAGTTTGGTTGTCGCAAAGTGATTCTTTTGATGAGAAGGCTGTTTTGGTCAATGGCCTTCAGATGATGGTGAGACATAAAAATGGCTAGCAGTAAACTTTGCTTTTGGGTTTTGTTAAGATGCTAGTTTAATCTTATTCTTCCAGCATTCTCTTGAATACTATATTCCACTGTTCCTGGTTGTTTGGAAGGGTTTGATTAAACATCTAAGAGACTTAGGTATGTAGTTATCACTTCATAGTAGGCTTTAACTGACAATGATATTTGAAGCTTTGCAAGTCCATCCTATGAAGCTTACTTTGTCCATTGGATCCTCTTAACTTTTACGCATCATTGCAGCCTTTGGCGGAGGTGGAAGCATCGAGTTCTTCTGAATTCCAACTGGTAAGAAGAGTCTTCTGCAACATTTTTCTTGACCATATTAGTTTGAAGATTCAACTTTTGCTAAGTGAAATGCAAAATAATATCTCAACCTTGAAAGTTTGGAATTTTTACTTTCTAATGGTCAGAAATTAAATGTTGTGCATGGCTGTTATTGGGAAGTATAGCTTCAGTTCTTGCAAAGCAGGACTTTTAATTTCTATGGGGATAAATGTCGACTGATGGATGTTTAAAAAATCAGAGTAAAAAGTGTCCAAGTTGCTAGCTATAACTTGATTTAATCTGCCAAAGCTGAAGAGAACCGACGTATTAGAAGATTGTATTTCTGTGCTTATTTCCTCCTCCTTTCTCTCTTTCTTTTGTTAGGTTATAGTCTTAGTTTCTCAAAACCCCCCGCTAGTATGTGGAAGGCACTGTTGACTATGCACGTTGTTAGTTGTATCGAATCTAGTAATCATTGAAATTGCTATGATTGGGCAAGTACGTGCAACTGATGATTTTTTCAAGCTTGGGACTTTATAGTAGTTACTCGACTGTTACTGCAATTGCTTGCCATAATTCTTGGTCCTTTTGCTTTCAGAACTTAATAGCAACAAAGCGCGGAATTCAGAAAATCACTGGAATTACTGTGTTTGACACACGGAGAAGAAAACTTACGAGTCCTTGCTAGAACTAGAGGTTAGTATTCTATCAATACTTTGGCTGCAACTTTGACTGAACTTGGGAGGCAAATGCTAAGATTGCTTTTTACTGACCTTGATTTGGCAATAGGATGATTATATATATATATATATAATTTTAATATTCCAAGAACCTACGAACAGGTTATTTGATCTTAACTCTGTCAGTGGAAGGAAAAACCCATGTTGTGTTAGTCGGACTAAAGAAATTAGCAAGTATGATGGGATAGAGAGAGAGAAAAGTGATGACATTTCATTACCAGATCACATCCTTTTTAAAGATCAGATCATGGACTTTCAAGTCAGATTGAAAACACAATTTATGTGGGGTGGCTACTATAGTTGCTGATGGGTTTTTAATCTGACGTGTTTGGGGTTATTGTGCAGATATTCGTGGATTCAGACTACACCTGAGCTCTGTGCCTCCGGTTTGTTCACAGGATGTGCTCTAACTTGCGTTGTGAGCTTTCATGAGAGCTCTGCTTGGTATATTGTGCCCTTTGACTCAGCGAGCTCGTCGGACTATGAGGCCCGGATGCTACACCATTTCGGAGCTGATGCCTATTTATGATTGGCCCGGTGAACTTTGTGACCTTCCGTTTGAAGCATTGTAGTGGATGAAGGAAATGATCTTCTTGACAAGAAATGTCTTCACCAGTCGTAACTGTATACCACATTCTACATGGATTTTGCTTCTTTGCTTGTATACTAGTTTAGAAAAAAATAATATAACGTCAATTGACTCTGGACATTTTTTTGTCTCCCTTTCTCCTTTTACAAGATCAATATGTTCCTGTAAGAACTTCTCCATTTTTTGTTTAATTCTTTTCCATCTTGCTTTACACTTCTTTACACACACTATTAATTTGGTGTATCGTACATTTCTTATTTTAACATCCTTTATGTGTTGGATTTAATATGTTACAGAGTGTGAGTGTTACCTTTATTATGATAAAAAATTTTACTACTTTATATTTCGGTTTTTGATTTTCAACTTTTTGGTCAATATCGATTGGAGCAAATTACTTGAGTAACCATACAGAGTTAACTATGAAGAGTTATTTGCCTAAATAACTCCCTTCACAAAAAATATTCCCAAAATGATTCAATTTCATACTTTATTCTCATAACAACTTTTTTTGTTATCCATCAGATCAAATTCAAATGGAAATGAGAAAAAGGGTAAAACCCTTCATTAGCCATTAATATAGTCCAAAAATCACCCACATGACTATAGTATTCTACTCAGAATTTAGCTTCTCTTTTTTTACTATAATATCATACTTTGACTTTACTTGTCACTCTATTGTCCAAAAAAGTCTTGAATACTTAACATAATCTGGCGATATTTCTAAACATGAGAGCAAAAGTCTTGAATATTTAAATAAATTGACAATATTTTCAAAGATGAGAGCAAAATCTAAAATTTGACTGTTCATCTTTGTTCCAGTTGCAGCAATTTTCTCTTTGTGATGCTATCCTTCTTATTAAAAAATAATAATAAAAGAAAAACTCAATACAAATCTAGGGAAACTGGAATTATCACTAAGCATGAAAGCAAAATCTAGAATTTTGATTGTTCACCTCCATTCCAGTTGCGGTAATTTTCTCTTTTTGATGCTCTCTTTCCTATTAAAAATAAAAAAGAAAAAAAATAGGAAAAACTCACTACAAATCTAGCAAAATTGGAATTATTAGTATGTTTATACAAAAAAATTCATCACTTGTTAATTCAAAATTTTCCGTCACTCTCTCCATTCAATCAATCAATCGTACAAAAATTAGTTTTGATTTTGTCATGCTACATTGAACGGGAACTCATTGTGCATGTGGCTATATGGGAGGAATAGCATGTAGGGCTGAGGAAAACAGTCTTATGCTTTTTATTTGGAATCGATACTCGTCGGTCCGGAGCCTCCTATGTTAATAATGATGGTAACGAGAATTTGATTGAGTTTGAAGAATTTGATTTAGAAAGCATGGAGGACGCTGCTCCTTGTTAGGGGATAAGGTCAGAAGATTAGATTAGTAATAAAATTTGGAGTTGAATCATTGTAGGAATATTTTTGAAAAAAAAAGGTTATTTTGGCAAAAAACTCTAACTATGAAAGGGACCAAAATTTATACATTTGATAGTTTACTGGGTGATTAGAACTTGGCAATTGAGATTGTTTTATGCTTCTTAACGTGATAATGCATGATTCAAAAAGGGCTTTATTTGGAATATTAAAGTTGTCCTGATTTTTATATACATTTCATCCATTGTATGTAATCAAATTAATGAGAGTAATATACATATAGTAACATATATATAAGAAAGTAAATTAACTATTAATGCTTTAAAAGTATCACCTAATTTTATCTTTTTATTAAAAATAAAACATTGGACCGATTTGTTGATTTGAGCACCAAATAAACAGACTCAGCTGAAATGGGACTATTGTAATTCCTTCAATGCTGTACAATTAATACGGGAAATGACGATAGAGTTGGCAACCCTAAAACTTGAGCTTAAATTTGTCTAACATCTACTAACACTACTAATAGTTCTCATATTTAGTTGGGCGACTTAAATCTTGCAACTGGGATGAAAATACAAATACAAGAAGAGTACCATTCCTGCCATTGCTCGATAACATCGTTCCATAATTCCTGAAGTCTGTAGTCACCCTCCCAGAAAAATATCATCTTCAGTACTTGACAAAAATAGCCAAAATTGCTGTTAACTTGGCCCCAAAACTACCTCACGTTCTCCTCCAAGAAAAATTTGTTTCTCTATTGAAATCATGTAAGAAAGCCAGGCAAGTCAAAGCAATACAGACCCAGATTATAACTCACGCTCTTGACCCCAGCAACCAATATACAATCCCAACTTTACTCTCAAAATGCTTTGTTATAAACCAAGTCTCGTATGCCCACACGGTGTTCGATAGAATTCGTAGCAGAAATGCCTCCGTGTACAATGCAATGTTCAAAGGCTATCTGGACTATGAGATGTTCAATGAAGTAATATTGTTGTTCAATGATATGATTCGCGAAAATGTTAGTCCTAATGGTTACACATTTCCAATGGTGCTTAAATCTTGCCTGAGACTAATGGCCTTAAAAGAAGGCGAGATGGTGCATTCTTTGGTGTTGAAATTTGGGTTTAAGTCAAATACCTATGTCGGTTCTACTTTGATTGAAATGTACGCGAGGCAGGCCAAGTAAGCTGCGCCTGCAGAGTGTTTGCTGAGATGGTTTTGAGGAATGTTGTTACATGGACTTCAATGATCAATGGTTTTGTTTTGAATGGCGATTTGTTTTCCGCAAGGAGGCTCTTTGATTTGGCACCCGAGCGGGATGTTGTGTTGTGGAATACTATGTTGTTAGGTTACATTGAGCACGTGGATATGGCGGAGGCTAGAAAGCTTTTTGATGTGATGCCCAATAAGGACTTGATGTCTTGGAATACCATGTTAAATGGCTATGCGAATAATGGGGATGTTGAACGGTGTGAAGAACTCTTTGAAGAGATGCCAACAGAGAAATATCTTCTCATGGAATGGGTGATTGGAGGGTATGCCATAATGGACGGTTTGTTGAAGTCCTTGGAACATTCAAAAGGATGCTAAATGAGTCCGATGTGCAGCCTACTGATGCCACGCTTGTGAATGTGTTGTCAGCTTGTGCAAGGTTAGGTGCACTTGATTTGGGCAAGTGGGTTCATGTATATGCTGAGAGTAATGGGTACAAGGATAACCTTTATGTTTGTAATGGTTTAATTGATTTGTATGCCAAGTGCGGATGATAGAAAGTGCAATCAATGTTTTTAGGAACATGGGAAGAAAAGATTTGATATCCTGGAACACAATTATTAATGGCTTAGCAGTACATGGTCATGGAGCTTATGCTTTAAAGTTGTTTAGTGAGATGAAACTTGAAGGAAAAACCAGACGCAATTACTTTTATAGGTATTTTATGTGCTTGTTCTCATATGGGTTTAGTTGATGAAGGATTTCAGTATTTTCAGTCAATGGTTGATGAGTACTCAATTGCGCCACAAATTGTGCATTATGGTTGCATTGTTGATCTACTAGGTCGTGCTGGACTTCTGGAGCAGGCTGTGGATTTTGTGAACAAAATGCCAGTAAAAGCAGATGCTGTGATTTGGACCACTTTACTTGGTGCTTGTAGAGTTCACAAGAATGTTGAAATTGCTGAACTAGCTCTTCAAAACTTATCCAGATTGAGCCTAAAATCCATCAAACTATGTGATGCTGGGAAACATTTATCGAGCTGCTAAAATATGGAAAGATGTTGCACGACTTAAAGTTGCAGAGAGGGATACTGGATCTAGGAAATTGCCAGGTTGCAGCTCAGTTGAAGTTGAGGATGGAGTGGTTGAGTTCTACTCATTTGACGAAAGGCATTCTAGCTCAGAGGAGATATATGATGCCCTGAGAGGATTGATGAATGTGTTGCTATCAGATGGATATGTCCCAGATTTTGTGGAGCTTGGTCAGGGAATCTAGAGAAGTGAAACAAAATTTGTGTATTGAGTACCTTTTTTGTGTTGATGTACAGTTCGATGCTTTTAACCAAGACCGAGGACATATACGATATAACATGCCATGTGAGAATAATAAAGCACCAAATTCAGTGGAAAATTTCCCAGACCCTGTTCTGATTTTGCTGTACCTGGATTTGCTTGATTCTGCAAAGAATGCCATAATCAATTATCAATCTGGAAAAAGCTGTCTGACAAATTTTACATCTACTGTGAGGTTAAACCATGGTTTGTATGATGGTGTCACTTTATTACTCAGTCTGATAGAATGTGATAGATTAGGGATCACTCGGTCTGATAGTAGTCACTTTATTGATTTGTACTTTTCCAAATAATGAAGATCTGTGCTTGAAAATGGACTTCCTGAGCTGAAATATTAAAACTAAAATCAAGAAAAAGTGATTGAGACTTCTGAAATAAAATTGAGTCTGCAAAAAAAAAAAAAAAAGGTTCCAGAGAAGGATGGTGAAAAACCACGTGCATCCGAAGCCCCCGTAAGTATAGTAGTAAATCCAATCTGGACAAAGCAAGTCTTGGAAGGAACTCTGCAAATCCTTGGCTGCAGAATCAAATTCAGCTGAGGACGATCAATTCTTAACTTGGAATCTTAACACACTGCCGTTAAAGCTGTTAACAAGTTGGAACATGTTTGCTTGGAACGAGATGATCATGGACATTCTAATGACGAATCTCCAGCTTGAAGCTCCTGGTCTTTCGGTAAAGATCCAGCATCTGAAATGGATAAGGTGCAATTTTTAAACAGAGCTCAAACTCCTTCCGCAGGAGCTGAAGACCGGATGCAATTGAAATGATTTTGTGCTTATGAATAAACAGAGGCAAAGGTATTGTTTTAGGAGCTCTTACATCAATCTTACACCAAAAAGTTATCATACTCATGCACTAATATTCTTCTTCTACCTTTTGTAATTTCAAAAGCACTAATCTAGAGCCATGAATATGCCCAATAATCACCGTGATGAAGTATTAGTGAGAATAGGCATTTATCCTGCAAAATCACAGTTCGCTGCCGTTCTGCACTTGACCAGCAGCTGCCCCTCCCTTACTCAACAATTTGAATAGTAGCAATATCCAAGAACCAACTAGAGCAAACCATAGCAACTTTTCCCTATGCCTTGCTCTTATATTCTCAGCCTCCTGCATTCTCACACGTCGCAACAAGCTAGGGATTAACCATTTTGATTGCTCACACATGGGTTTATCATACCAAAGGAAGAATCCGCAGCCATTGCCTTCCTAAACCATTGTCAGAAGCACAAGACAATCAGATCTTCATGGATGATTTTTGCTTGCACTCACTATGTGAACAGAAAAGGAAGGAAAAGAAAAAATTCAAGTTCAAAGAGTTTTACTCCGTAGTTTTCACAGCAGAAGAACCTTCTTCCTGGGTTTTCATCTGTCCAAGAAGTCCTAAGCTTGGAAGCTTTGCCACAGTGACACGTCACAGGAACAGTTGTGACCTCTTCACTCTCTTTAACAACATTCTCTTTGCTTTGATCAAACTATGCAACAACAAGTACATAGTGTCAATGCATACAAGATTTGCACGATAAAAAGAGACATGATCAATTACAGATCTCAGTGGATTACATTGAGTGGCTTCAATCATTATCACCAAATTCAAAGAAATTTATTCATTGGAAAGCATTATACACACGCGATATGATAAGTGAAATTCCTAAATATGTCACTGTTTACACTGTCTTTGCAACTTTTGGAGGAAAAGGGGGCTGAAACTCCTTCTTTTTTCCCTACTATATAAATAGCTCCCTGAGTTAAGCGTGATGATTTTCACAAGTGACTTTAGTAAACTGGTTAGTGATCAACATAACACACTTTAGTCAGAAGTACTTGGAACAGAACTCAACTATCTCAACATTGAGAGACTAGAATGAGATCTTTTTACACAGACTTGGGAGTATTACAAACATTTGCCAAACCAAACTCATCAAGGATAACAAACTGGTTCAAAAAACAAACGTTACTGAGTCCAAATATGTTCATTCTACTAATAACGACCCTCAAGTCAAATTTACATGTGAGGGTGATTGAAAACGAGGAAAGAAACAGGAACACTAATGAACCACAGGAAACTTAGTGCTAAGGTGAATATGCAGTTTCCTGGTCATGTCAACAGCTAGAGTGCTTAATTTTATCAGGCCTGCTGTCCCCAAGTTGCCCAGTTAGCCTCACTTCCTACCCTTGGTATGCTATTAATCTTGGAAAGGGCATCAACCTTGAAGTTCGAACCACACATAACCCCCTCACTATCCACTCTTGGCATGGCTTTCATCTTGTGCATGGGATGTTCAAAGCTCATCAGTCCTCTTTCACTATGGAACATACAGCCTGCAATATTCAATCGCCCAAAACAGAAATCAGAAATTTTCCATGCCATAACATTATACATTCCACAAACTACTACCTCCATGCCACATTTAATGCTTCATTTTTAGTCTGTCTAAAATATTGCTCACTTTTGCCACATTGAACGTTCTAATTAAAATATTATCGTGATGCCCTATGTGTTCCCACCTCTCATCAATCAGTCACATGTTTTCATTCGTCCAGTGCTTAATTAAAAGAAAGACGCTTGAACCAGTGACAGAGGTGGCATGAATTGTAATTTGGCCACCAGAAAATTTTAAAGTCAACTACTGAGGAGTTTGATCTCTCATCAGTCCTAGAAAAAAACACACACAAAACAAGAATAATCGTCCCAGAACTACGTACCAGTTGGGAATGGGGCAAAGGATTTAGCACAGCTTGCTTTTACCAGATTCACATCATCAGATATCATTAAAGAACCATTGGCTGCTATGCCCCAATAGAGCTTCACTACTTCATCAGCACCCTGCATTCAAAGTAGAGGCATAGGCATCAGTCAAGATAGGGCCTGAAATTTAACAACAGATAACATTCTAAACTTTGATATTTCAGAGGGCTTACAAGTGCAGCAAATGCAGTTCTAGCTTTGTCATCATAGATCACAAATCCAAAGCTGCCATCAAGATCCTTGAGGACCTGATGAGCCGGATAGGGGCTCCTGTCACGCAGTGTCCGGTATGCTTCAACAATAAACATGGCCTCATTGACACCCTTGGATAGTCCATATTGCTTGATAAGAGTGGGCAGATTTCTTAAACTCCCAGTGAAGACGCAGTATATGTCATTTACACCACAAAACATCCTAATACATAAAATTTAACATCCAAAACAAGTTTAGTCCCACAAGCAAAGGAGTTATCAGATGAATAATGCTTCTTCTCTTTTAATAACAAAAAGGTAAACCAGACACACAAAACATTTTATGGAATCGGGACACTGTCGTCCTTTTTATCACAGAAAGAATAATTTTTAGAGTCACGAGTTATCACATATAGGGCCTAACCCCAGTTTCATTTGGAATTTAACAAGTTCTTTACTTTCCTGCTTTTTCATATCTGTATTCTGTAATCTATTCTTTGTGAACGAAAAAAACCCATAAAACTTTCCAAAATCCAATTTGATGATCCCAGAGTTTTTTGACAAACAAGTACAATACATAAAACAGATCCCGTCCCAATTTGCACTCATTTCATGCCATAGAAAAGTTAATTAAACATCAATTGTACCAAGTCAAGACAGAAAAGAAAAATAAAGGGAAAAATAGGATGATGAGAACCTTTGATGAGCGGTGATGTGTGATCTCTGAGGAGGGGCATAAGCCAGCAAGGCATTGTCAGCAAAGCCCAGAGAGAACCATTATTGGAATGGGATGACAAGAAATCCTTCAAAGTCTCCTCAAGATTCTTAGCATTGTCAAAAGCTGGAGCATGGGTTGATGAGGCTGGACTCTTCAGCTCCTGGGGTGGAACAACCAAACCATTCTTGAATATTGCCAACATTTTGCTGTAATTCTTTCTCGTCCTTTGTAATTCTTCTCACCAATATCAAGACGAAGAAAGAAGAACAAGAACTGCTACTTTCTTTGTTTTTATGTAAAAGGAAAAGAGATTGTGAATAAATAGCCCGCGAAGAGAGACAGATAGATTGAGACTACTGATGGATAAGAGGGATTTGCTAAGAGTATTTATAGGTATTCCATTGAAGAATTTGATGACCAATGTTGAGTAAAAAGGGAGGTGGCAACGTTATCCAAACAGAAATTGCTGACTAGACAAAACGTCGACATTGTGTTTCCTTAAAAGTGCCCCTCATTGGATAATTTTTTTTATACACGAGGTCAGTTTAGCATATATGGCATCTATTAATATCTGTTAGTTTTTTAAAAAAAAATATTACACCGTGTTGCTACTTAATTGGACTGAGCGACGCAATTTTCTGGAGAATTAATTAGATTAATGTTGCGAAAATGTTCGTTAAGATTAGAGGTGTCTTTAAATGCAATGGATGACGATTAATGGGTACTAGAAAAATTAGTAAACTACATTGAAAAGTCTAGTCAAGGGTTTAGTATTTACAATGTGGAGTAGTATAGACTAAGATGGCAATTTGGATAACCGTTTTATTAGCCATAAATAATAAAAAAAAAGAAGTGGGATATTATTAGGAATCAAAATTGCTAACCTTTTTTTTTCTTTTTTTCTTGAGCTGTAAAATTGATTACAATTTAACTTTTCACGAGAATTAGGATTAAATTTTATGATTTGAATGAACAGCATCTTCTTTTGATGGATTGACGAAGTAAATAAATCGAATGACGAATTTACATCGTTGGTCTAACTATTGTTATTAACACTGATTAAGTGGGATTCATGAGTTAATTTCTTTGACAAAACGAAAATTTAAATATAAAAAAAAAAAAAAAACATGGCCTATGTAAATGCAAAGCGTCCTATTGCAAGTATAAAACAGCGTGGGGGAAAATGTCTTTGGACTTTGTCAGAGACCTGATGTGATGGTGACACCTATCCGGGTCAGCGTATCCTTTTTGTCGTGACATTGAAAAGGCTTATCTTTACTAATTTCGTCCTTTCTTAGCTGGAAACACGTAGATTAGAAGTGATCAAATGGATTCATATCACCGATCCATCCATATAAATATGGATTGGATGATCCATATGAATTCAATGAATTTAAATGGATAACATCTAAATTCAATTATGTTGATAAATTTATATGGATTATTCATGCCATCCATAGACATCTACTTAATTTAAAAAACAGAAAACATACATAACTTCCTCATATGTCAGATTCATTTTGTGGTACCGTCTATTCCTTCCTTCATAATTTTTTCATGTGCCAAGTTGCCAATTAATTGCATTTTATTCGTTTCTAGATCCTAGATTTCTTCCATCCTTTTTAAAATTATATATTTAGTCTCTACTCTTGTTTATTTAATTAAACTCTCATGAAGTAAAGACTACAAACATTTACATTCTTAAGTAAAGAAAAAGCAATAATGTATCAGACATTGTCAAAGTAAATTTTTTATTCTTTTATTTATAAAAAGGATTTTTCTAATGAACATTCCCGCAACACTAGTTAAGATACATAAATGACACATTCTTTTTTTTTTTTTTAATAAGTGGAAGGTTTTGAATCAAAAACTTGATACTTACAATCCATCTCCTCTTATCACCCAACCCAATTCTCAAAAAAAAAAACACCTAATTTACTAAGTAAATATAAGGTAGCTTGTATATCAATGGTAAACTAAGGAGTTTCATACATTTTTAGGTACTACATGCTCATGTGATTAAAATATTTTAATTGTCAAATAACATAAGATTTCTTATTAGAACTCTATTTTTATTCAAGGCATCCCTCTTGAACAGGAGCGCAAAAAATTGGAGACGTAAACTTTTTTCCACTGTAAAGCCGTATTCAATTCAACCAAAAGTTATAATAATATAACCAAGTTCTTAATTATTCGTTGCTTTACAAAATGATACTTAAAGTAATGATGAAAGGTTAAATTGACCTCAATAGTTAGATTTTCTTAGAACTAAACTAATTTGAAGTTGCTTTTATGAAGAACTAAAATAGAGTAGCAGTACAAGCATTTGTTATTACCAAAAGGTTTTTAGGTGATTCAAAGATAGAACTTTGGGGATCTGTATTTTTTTGGAAAAAAAAAACATGTGAATCTTAAATTTAGGACTTAAGAGAGTAAATGGATAAATGGATGGATCACGGTTTTACACTATCCATTTAAATGGCATCCATTTAGATCCATGTATTAAATGATTTTAATTGGGTTGTATCAATTTTGATCCACTATCCATTTAACTAAAACCATTTATTAACAGTATATCCATTTTGCCACTTCGTTGTAGATAACGTATGGATTTTGTGTAATCATGTGTTTGAATATCTCATAAATAAATATTTTTAATTATTTTTAATCTTTCCAACAACATTTTGTAAATAGATTCACAAATTATAAAAAAAAATGCTACAGTGTGTAACAAACAATTTTTCAAACTAATAGGTATCCAAGCACCGTTGTTGATTGCAAGAAAGTCGATGGGTTGGTTTGATTTAAAGTTGCATGATGTAGTCGATTTATTCTTTTTAAGCCAAAAAAAAAAAGTTAGTTTCAATTCTAGTTACCATCATGAAACAGTACAGTAGGCGAAATTGATTGTAGAAAACAAATTT